ATAGTGAAGGTTTCAGCAAATATGCAATTTTTATAAAAATGACATACTGCAGCTTTAACTTGAGGAAAAAGAGCATTCAGGTTCATTTATTGAAATTCAAATGCTTAGAATTATAGCACTTGGAATCTGTGCTGTTTTAAATTACTTAATGGAAAAACAGCAGACTCTTACTAGACTGGCTTGAGAGAGAACCCAAGGTGCACATTTGCTCCCAGATTAAGAGTAAAAACACATGCTTTTATTTGGATATGAGGGCCGTTTGAATTCTTTGAACTTCTGTGAATCCTCTGCCTTCTTCCACCGGCGGAGGACCAGTACAGATTCTGGCTCCTTGCATCACAATTTCATCACTCGGTGGTTCCCTGAAGGGCAGACATCAAGCAAGGACAATGTGCTGATGTGGAGGTAAATGCACTGCAGGCCTGCTGTTCTGAACAACAAATACATTCACTGTTAGGTTTCAACCCAGGTTACACTCACAGTAGATCTTACTGTACGTAGTGTGTAAGCAGTTTAGTTTCTATATGCACTTAGTGTATTTTAGTGTAGGCACAGGGGAATTGGGAGCTGATTTTGAAAAAAATAAAGAACAGTGTTGCTGGGTGAATTAAATGGATTAACTTGAGCTATAAAAGCAATAACTGAAAAATAGCTCTGACAGGTGTTGGGAGGTACACGGGGGATTTAGGACAACTGCCTTCCTTTTGTTTCCATTTCTGCAGGTTAACATCGGAGACCAGTGTTAAGCACAAAGCTTTTCTGCTGTGGGTACAGGGCTATGCTCAAAGACCCTCAGTGATGTGGCTAAGGCCCGGGGGCCCCTCCTTCCTCCATGGTGGCCGGTGGGCTGGGATCCTTGTGGAAAGGAGTCTCCTTGTAAATGAACCAGCAGTTACCTGCCCACAGGATCAAGTTCAAAAAGCCAAAAATCTGTAGAAAGACAGGAAAACAGAGGTGATTTGTGATAACAACAAACAAGTAAAGTGTTCACTTTCTCTCTGCTCCAACTTTCCTGTCTTTCTTCTGCTGCTGCTTCTGTCTAATAAATAAATAAAAGCCCCAAAACAATCCAAAGAAATAAGAGAACAATTTAATATAGTTATCTTTGCATGCAGAACTTTTAATGGGTTAATTATATATTTTTTTATTTGTAATTATAAATTTGTTATTTATTTGTAATTTATTTGTATTTATTCGTGCGGTGTTAACGGCACCTTTAAATACAGGTGGTGTGGGTAGGGCCTGCAGCAGATTTGGCCCTATAACAATCATTTCGATTATCATCTTTCAATACATGTTGACTGAGTGGAACCTAAAGCCAAAATATATATATCATGGATTTTATGTGATTGAGTTAGGGGAAACTTTAGAAACTTTGTGAAAAGTTCTCTATTATACATTCTTATTATTTGTCTCTTTTTGTAAATTCCACAAATGGAATAAGTTATTCTTTATCTATATAAAAATAGTGTGTCTCTGCGTCTAGATCAATTATATCCCTTGTTAACAGCCGATCAGCTACACAGATGAGTGCAATATACATCGCTGTACAAACAGTTATATCCGACTTTCCTTTTATATTTAACTGAACACCAGTGATGTCTGTAATTGACCTTGGAAAGAAAACAGGCAATGTGAGAAACAATGGGGGCCGAAAAACTCATGAAAAACTCCAGTGTTTGGCTTTTCTCTTCTGGCCTACTGTAAAACTCTTTGTGGTAAACACACTAAAACTTGACTATTGGTGACCTTCAAATAAGGCATAAAAATAGGTTTGATTGTACATCAACACTTAGATTATTTTCAATGAATGGAGATGCTAGGACATGAAATTTGAACAATTATTGCCATTTATTATGACTCAAAAAAAAATGCTAGTGTAAGACTACATTTTCATTCTACAAACTGCTTTAAAATTATATTACACATAATTAACTGTACACTGCTGCAAAGCAATCTCAGCAATGGAAGTTTTTACTTTGAACACCAGATGGCACTGGCTGTGCTCTGCCTCTGGAGCGTTTATATACAACAACAATCTGCAGTCAGCCACCCTCCAGTATGTGGAAAACTGAAAATGGAGAAAGTATTGGTACTAAGGTTGCTAGTAGTGTTAATCTGAAAAAAGAAATTATCCTATTAAAAAGGATGCATGTTTAATTAAACAGTGTAATAACAGTGAATGAAATGAATATTGTTCGTTGTAAGATTTTACTTCAACATATTGAAAAAGACTGACGGCAAGAATCTACACAATTGAGTGCAGGAGAAAAAATATAGAAAATAAGAAAAAAGTAGAATTCACTTTCTGGGTTGTAAAACTCCATATGCAGAGGTGAATGTATTTATATTATACTACATTTTGTTTCTAGAACAGCAACAGTAATGTTTACAACAGCAAAGTCATTATATACACCTAATAAGTCGCTGGAAATAAATCTAAATACTGAGTGACGTTGGGAAAGAATCATGGACACAGTCAATCAGAGGAGCGAGTTTATCTCAGCAAGAATTTGCCAGACTTTAAAAACCATGGCAAACTTAGCTACACAGTCAGACTACATTCACACAGTTTCATTTCAGCTTGTAACAGTTAGCCATTAGCCCAGCTAGTGCACTGTGCTTGTGAAGTGGCAGTGGATGAGAGACTGCAGACAGAGCAGATTATAATATTGCTTTCCAACATGTTTCTGCATGTTGAACAGGTGTATTGATAAAGTGTTGTAAATCTTTTTACTAGTTTTATTACTTACACTAATGAGAGTAGTCCTATTCTAGTTGGAGTAAATACATGTTGGAGTTACCTTAACTTCACTACGGCCTCTCTCTCTCTTTTAAATGTTTTTGGGACTTTTACTGCCTTTAATTGATAGTGACAGCTGAAGAGTGACAGGAAAGTGGGGAGACAGGGAGAGAAAGATGGGATGTTAGCAGCAAAGTTTCACCGGCTGGACTTGACCCATGGCTGCCGCAGCAGGGACTCAGCTCTACCCCTACTCTTGCCCTGCTATCTGCTGACTTCACTTTGTGTTTGTGGGTGTGCATGTGAAGGAGCTCAGCCCCCAACACAGAAGCTGTTTTCACATGGCTGATTGATCATGGTGGAATAACTTGACACACGATCCCTTCTGAGTTTTTACTTTTTATTTTTTCCACTGCTGGCTGGATTTACTTTGTGAATGACAAAACGTAGCTGATGGCATCGGCCATCATATGAAGTAAAAGAGGATAATGTTACAGTTGTCAGGGAGCAGGTAAGCTAATGCTACGTTAAACATCGCCTGTCAGTCAGCATTTACAGCAAGGCTACTTTATAATGTGATTGCTAGTTTGTAAGAGCTGAATATCCAATTTACCATACTGGGTATTTTCTGTCAAACTCCCACCATCCCCCTTACCATGAATAGAGCCACCCCTAACAGATTAGCTGTGTGAGGTTAGATGATAGAAAGTGACATCAGCTGCAAGAATCCCAAAGCAGACCGCAGT